CGTAACGGAGTGGGCCTACCAGCAGTGGGGGTATCACCGTGCACTCAGGCTGTGTCGCCTGGGACCATCCCGTGTGCCTTACAATCACCAACAAATTTGTTATTCATAATCGAAACATCCACGTGCCAACTTGAAGGAGAAGAAAAAAGGAGAGAGAGAATGCAGAAAATAGGTCTGGATTTTCAACTAGAAGCAAAAAGGACATTTACTTCTACAGGATTTACCATGGAAATGAAACCCTTCTGGCTTTTTGCGGATAAACCTTTTAATTTACTTCAAATTAAGAAAGCTTTATTTCCCTATTGACATTAAATATGAATTCATATCAACAAAATTCTCAAGGTCAAAACATAATTACGGCTACGTTATATTATTTTTCTTAAAATTTAATCTATAAGTTGTCAGCAAAGTTCACCATTTTCAAAATAAACTTTAAAGACTTTAAGAAAATAAGTGTGAAAGGTTATTTCAAGGCAAGGAGAAAACTCTTTATTGATAAAAGAAATATATAAATGTAATGAGTGACTCATTTGTATACATTGTATTATGTCAAAGTTCAAGTGTGTTGAACTTGATTTATTGATTTTATCAGCATTTTCAAACACTATCAGTAAGTAGGTTTATATTGCTATGCCATATGATTTCAGATAAGATAATGAAACCAGACTAATTTCAAGTTTAGTTTACAGAAGGTGCTAAGTTTTAGGTTGCCAAGATGATAAAGCAGCAATTTGAAAGCAAACACAAAATTTATCAGTAAAAAATATGTGTGCTTTACTGTTGAATCGTGTTTACATCGGCCCAATTAATATCGTAAGAGGAAACAAAAGTGTACGGTTCAGGTTGAGTTTGAGCTGGCTCGCATGTGCGCCGCTTATCGTTTAACAAATACGTCTGCAAGTTACGAGAATAAGCACTGACCAATTTATCACCCTAATTATCCAGAGTATACACTTGACTCTCTCCCTCCCTCTCTCTCTCTCTCTCTCTCTCTATCTCTCTCTTTCTCTCTCTCTTTCCTTCTCCCTCTATCTATCTCCATCTGTCTATGCCTTCTTTCCTGAATGGGCTTGGCAGTCAGACGAACAGCTCGCTCTCATATTTTTATTCTCTCTATCTCTCTCTCTCTCTTCCTTTTGAGGGCTACCCATAACACTCATAGATCACACACCAACCAACCTCGAGACGCACCGCATCACACCGCATCGGTGCACGTTTCAGACTCACCAAATATAGGCCAAACAAACATTGCACCTCTCAACTTCTAAACTATGTTTATCTGTTTAGGTAAACCCCATTATTCCCATTTAGACAATCTTCCCTTGACACAATTTCCCCTACAAAGAAAACTAGAACACCCGTTCATTTGGTGATGTAAGTTTGTTTCCGATGACTTGATTTTTTTTTTTTGCTCGCTTTGTCCCATTGTCCGCAAAATTTTGTGAATGACATTTTATTTTTTTCTGAGTCAAGGACTTTGGATTACAATTAGAGTACTAAATAAAGTGTAAGAAATAGGTAATTAGGTTTTGCTCGGAGGCGGATTTAACCACACACTGATACGGATGAAATATCGGTCACAGAAACTCCAGCTATTTCCTAGTTAGTTTTCTCTTCGATTCAATTTTACTTTAGGTTTTCTAATGGTGGTACGTAGATTATCATTCAATTACAGAATTGGCGGATGGTCTATATATACGGTAAACTTATCAAACAATTAAAAAATGCAGCATTTATTTTGTTGAGGTGTGATCGCAAAGCCTCATTAAAACTATTGGTAAAATATAACATGACATTTTACAACTTTAATAGAAAAAGACCTTTGGAAGATAATGTTTTGACTCTTATCTCTCGCCCCCTTTCTTTCTTTCTCTCTCTTTTCATCTCTTTCTTTCTCTCTCTTTTCATCTCCCACTTTCTTACTTTCTTTCTCTCTTTCTTTCTCTATCTTTCTATTTCTGTCTCTGTCTCTGTCTTTGTCTTTGTCTTTGTCGCTCTCTCTCTCTCTGTCTGTCTCTCTCTCTAGCTCTTTCACTTTCATCCACACTCCCCCGCTATTTTCCCATCTCACTCTCCTATATCTTATCTCTTAGATTAGTATCAAAAATTAAAATTATTTGTATTTCAAAAATTGAATGCAAATAAAATGGCAAGATTTCAAACTGGAATGAGAGCTTCGGATCATTTCATTGACTGAGCAGGGATAACATGTCAGCATGGTTTATATGTCATTGACCTATATATATATATATATATATATATATATATATATCTCTTCTGTCTGTGACTCTGTGCACATGACAACGGAATGTTATCCGAGGCATTGTCCTTTGTAGGTCAACAACAAAAGAACATTCGTTTTCCTGAACAAACTCCGCGAATGATTGGCATTCTGTTGCGACATAATGAAGAGCGCAAACTCAGAAAGACAAGAGAAAACCTTGGCAAACAGTTCATCGGGGTAGAGAGATGTGTGCTTTTGATAATACCCTTGACCTGTTTCAACAATATTGAAAAAAATTGTGTCAGAGTAAAGAATGGAACACAAACCCTAAAAAGACTAATTGATTCTGTTCTATTTTGTCTCCCCTTTCTATATTTAGATTAAAAGCCACTTACGCCTGAACACGTTATGGTGATAGCGTGTCAGGTGCGGTTTACGAGAAGGATAACAACGTGACTAGATAACAATAACGGAAAGAGGTTAACGGCATTGAGTATTGTGTTTAATGGTGTCATATGACAACATCCATCATAACAGTTACTCTGCCTGTTGAATATATACCCCTATTGTATGACTAGTCTGTCACGTAGAATGAAAACAATTCTACCAGTCTTGTTCAACTTAATTGCAATAATCAATTACGCCATATATTCCAAAGTATGGTGCAGGAAAAAATGTCAAGAAACTGTTTTCAAGGGCAACAGTAATGGAATTCTTCTGAAGAGGCATCTATAAATTTCTAGGAAATGCTATGAACAAAAGACATTATCTTTTGATTGATTGTCTTTTAATAGTTATGTGCATAATGTGTAGGTGATGACCACAATATGACTACGGTACATAAAAATGAGCTCAGCTCAGATTTTTATATGAAGGTGATTTGAATGCTTCCTCCCTAAATATGCTGGAAATTAAGTATTCAGTACAAGGCTAATCTTTGTCTTTAAAAATTGTATGTGATCATATTTAAACATATCTTGCAAAGGTAAACTTGTTTTCTTTTCAAGATAGATCATTGAAACTTTTCTCAGTAGTCATTGCTTGCTGTATATCTTTTCATTCTGCAGAGAAGACTGATTTGTATGTTAATTAAGGATACGTTTATAAGAATGTGGTATGTTAAGCATACTTCTGTACGCTTTCTGGGGGTAATACATGATGTATATAAAGGTAGAATTAGCATAGGCCAGCTTTGACAGTTTATGTCACACAAAATGAAAGAATGTTCTCAAATCTCAGAACTTTCTTGGAATTGCTTTGTGATTGGTTGATAGTTCATCCTAATTAAAATTACAGCAATAATACAATAACTCCAAGGGGATACTCAAAGCACCTACAAGGTACTACAGTAAATCCTCGCTTGAGACAAGCTGCCCCACAGCTAAAGAATTCAAGAAATATCTTCTTACCAGGTACCCTTTTACCTCACATGGGTTGAGAGTGGCAAATATAGATCAATGCCTTGCTAAAGGACATTCGTGCTATGGGTGGAAGTCAAACTGGAAACCCTTGATGCAGATTCTCACCAATATTAAAATCTCAAAAATTTTGTAGGCTATTTAAAAATAAAGTAATGCAAACAAAGCGACTGGTTGATTATTTGTTTTACCCTGGCACTTATAAAGCAAGAATATTGGCTTGTCAGTAAGTTCCAGGAGACCTACATCCACCTTAAGTCCTATCTAAAGGATTCCCTAATAATCATCCTTCCCACCAAATCCTTTTGGAAATCTGTTCTGTCAGTAAGTTCCAGGGGACCTACAGCCTTAAGTCCTATCTAAAGGATTCCCTAATAATCATCCTTCTCACCAAATCCTTTTGGAAATCTGTTCTGTCAGTAAGTTCCAGGGGACCTACAGCCTTAAGTCCTATCTAAAGGATTCCCTTTCAATCATCCTTCTCACCAAATCCTTTTGGAAAATTGTTTTAAAAAAAAAACTGTGCAAGTTCAAGATTGATACTGTCCTTTGAAGGCGTGTCTGACGTCCCTTTGACCTGCCCTACTTTACTCCATTCTAAACCCTGACAATGCAATCTAGACCTATCAGTCAAACCCTGAGCCCCACACAGGTACCTAGAACAGGCAATCAACGGATGGTCTGAGATGGATAACTACAATAGCGGAATCACAAGCACAGCGTGGTGCTCAAGAGATAAAGAACAATATTAGTTTTCTATGGTCTAATTCTTTTGTTGAAGGGCAGACCATTTAAATGGAATCAGGATGCGTTTCATCAGATTGTTGGACCGATACAGAGGGGTAACCACGTATGACCAATATCGATCAAGACCAATTGGGATAACCTCGTAGGGGCGGGTCATTCCAGAGGGGTGCATGAAGGTGAAGGCGGTTCGTGGGCTGGTACTCCAGGAAATGGGAAGGGCGTGGCTAGCTGGCCCTCCTGTCCAATGAGCTGCTCCCTGTGCAACACACTGCCCTCTCTTGGACAAGTTACAAAGGTGTGGGAATGCCTACCGGTATTGTTGGATTACCATTTATAGCCTCGATATCCAGACTGTATTTTGATGTGCAGCACAAAGTAGAATGGTCTGCTGCCATGAAGCAGGTTTGCAAATCTAAAACAATGGCCTGGTAGTGATGTGACTACAGTGTTTCTTCTTCTCAGCGGATAACGGTTGAAACCCAGTAAAGTAATTTTTAGAAGACTTGTTGCTTTTCAAGGTCTAATTTGTGATTTAAAAAAATATATATTAACACTTTTTCCCATGTAAATATTTAAGTCATGGAAACAGTTTCCTTTTTCAGTTTTTCAAATTTGCAGACAAAGATAGATCCTTTAACCAAGCTTGCAACTACCGGTAAGCCCCAGCAGTTTAAAGAAACAACTTCAAGCATAGGGCACACCGGAGCTGCAAATCTCATCTCCTGTAGGAACCTGGGACCCGTTTCAAAAAGCCCTTTATCAATGACAAGTGACACAAATCAGTGACAAATCTACTGATAACCAATCAGAAGCAAGGATTTCAGTAGCTTATAACAAAAACTGTCATTTGTCACTGATGACAAGTTTTGTGAAACAGGGCCCAGGTATACACACAGACTGACAGCACCCAAAGGCCACATCCTCAGGTCCAGGCACAAACAAAGACATCAGAATCAATGGGTGGGACAATAATCAATCTTACCTTGACAGGCCTCTTCAATGCCTCCTGGATGTCCAGCCTCTTGCGCATGATGGTGGCGTCTAGCTTCCGCTCAAAGGCCAGCAGGTCCATGTAGGCCTGGGACTCTGGGACCAGGTCTCGGATCCTCTGGGGAAGCACCTTGTCAGCCATCTTCTTTTTTTTCCTGTTGCTGCAGAAGTGCCATTTAAACATTTGAAAATATGATTTAGAGACAGGGACGGTACATTATATACAAAGGTGTGAAATTTATTTATGTAATGGTGAAGAGAGGCAAAATCAGTGTTATCCTTGAAAAGATCATAATCCTCTGTAGCAGTACCAGAAATAAATTGAAATTGAAATTGAATTGAAAAATTAAGAATGTGATTATACACTTTAATACAGCACAAGAAAAATATGAAGTGAAAAGTGAGGCAAAATTAGGCTCTTGTTCAAATATAGAGCTCTTAAAGGGACTATGTCCCATTTACAGGCCAAAAAAATGAAAAAGTTAAATTCCAACTGCATTTGAAAGATAATACTAGTTTAGAACTTCCCTAAAAAAGGTGGGGCTTAAAAATGTTTTCAAGTGGGAAAATAACGACTATTAGTTGTCAAATCGACTTTAGGGCTATAGAGCCCAAAAGTAATAGTCTCGATTTTCAGACAATTGTACCGAATGGTCATACATTTTATGCTGCGCAAAGATTCAATCAGTTTAATCTTGGCCATCACAAGAAGTGGGTTATTGATGTAGACAAATGCTCATGTATCCTTTACAACTCTTTTCATGTATGTTATTACCAAAGAAGGAAAAAAGCCAGTCAGTCACTCAATAGTGTCTGACAGTGAAGTCTAGCATGTAAACGGGTTTCCTTGCATAATTTGAATATGAGGACACTGCTAATGTTTAAATTTCACAGATAGGACATACATGACATATTCCTAATTCCTGCAAAGTTCTACAGAATTTGAGGTTGGCTGCAAAAGGGACATAGTACCTTTAATGGTAATATGAACTCGTTTGCTGAGAACTAATAGAGTAAAAACCTGTATATAAAGATCACTCAAGGTAAATATTAAAAGAGATCTTTACAAAACAGACAGGTGGTCTTTATGTCCAGGTTCCTTGAGTACAAGTTTCAAAGAGCAACCATATTCGATGGGAACAAAAATGTGGTCTTTCTATACAGGTGGTCCCTAAAGCAGGTTTGACTGTAGCATAAACTCAATATGAAGGGAGATGACATAACATCCTTACAGCTCTCATAAATACATATTAACTTCTAGTGGGTAGTTTTCCAGGTTGTCTATCCAGAGGGTAACTATGTGGAAGGGGGAGGGTTAATGTAGGTGTCTTCGGATATAGTTGTCATAGCAGGACAATTTTTTCTACCAGAAGTGGTCCACATATTCATATAGAATCAGTCTGAATTCTACTTGCAATTTATGTTTATATTATATATAACAATGTTTATTTGTTGCATTCTTTTCTCTATCAAGGGTATATATTTCTTTCTTATCAATGTAATCAATGTGATTCAGTTCAAGGAGTAATATGAATATTTTCAATAAAACCAATAACTGTATGATACACGCTATAAGAAAAACTGGGGCCCGTCTTATTAACAGTTGATGATAATCGCAACTATATACAGTAAATAGGAGATAGGGACTGCAAACTTGCGACTGATTAGAGGAATCGCGAGTGATTTGTATCAATCGCGATTCTTTATAAGACCAGGGGGGTGTTTCACAAAGATCCCAAGTTGAACTTATCTCTAAATTGGACTTAACAATTATGGAAAGCAGTTAGGATCTAGGAAAATATTTTGTAAAAGTTATTTAAAAGGCATAAAATGTTGATTCAAATCATTCATATTTTCTATTATCATAGGAGATTTCATGTTCTTGATGTGGAATTTATGCAAAGTCTTAAATACTTATATTTTTGTTTTTGAACATATCTTTATAGTTTAAGGCAACTAATGGCTTTCCATAATGTTTAAGTCCAACTTAGAGTTAAGTTCGACTTAGGATCTTTGTGAACCCCCCCCCCCCCCCCCCCCCCCCCCCCGTTCCTTATTACAAAATGACAAGAACATGTACCTTTGTGATTTCTTTTGGGCCTCCACCTGGGCATGTCTCTTCCTAGACTGGTCCATGCTCTGGTTCATGCCCCTCATACCACCATAGGGGGGTGGCATACCAGCCCCCATCCTCTGTGCCCCGGACCCGCCACCTCTCTGGAAAGTCAATGGAAAAAAGTTGAAAACGTCAATTATGAATAATAACAATGATAATTCTACTACTACTACCACTAATTTTAATGATAATGATAATAATAATAATAATAATAATAATAATAATAATAATAATGATAATGAAAATAATGAAGAAGAAGAAGAAGAAGAAGAAGAAGAACAAGAAGAAGAAGAAGAAGAAGAAGAAGAAGAAGAAGAAGAACAAGAAGAAGAACAAGAAGAAGAACAAGAAGAGGAAGAACAAGAACAAGAAGAAATTTGATAATAATAATAATAATATGAGAATTTTAAGGCACTAAAGTCACTTGAACTCAAATACTCAAGGTGCACTTGTGAAAAAAACAAAAATCAGAAAGAGATCACATCAAAACATCTGCATTATAAACAAAGGAATAACAGTGGTAAGATAGAACTTACAAAACAATGGCAGAACAATTATATGTCGAATTAAACAGATAAATTTTAAGATTATTTCTAAACACACACCCACACACAAAATCAGTCTAATTCTAATTGCTTCTATTTCTTTTTTGTTTTTGTTTGATTTCGTTGCAGATCATCTGGACTTATATAGGCTTTTCAGCAAACTTGAAATGCATACAAAATGACTAGCACCTCTGCAATGACTGCAAATGAAGACAAAGGTGAATAATTGTGGTTTACTGTTTATGGTATAAATTCTGCTGCAGGGTAAGGACAACAAAGACAAAGCAGTATTTAATACTTTCTTGTGGTTTTCTTTTAAAGGTAAAGACCAGTATTGGAAACGCCCCAATTTCAAAAAATGAAATGGAAGCTCTCATTACCAATCATGTGAAAGAATATGTTTTGACTAATACATGATGATAACAAATTTGCCGGGAAACCGCCTACTAATTCATATATTTGGTAAATTTGTTTCTCTCATGGTCTGTGAGAGATATAGGGTAGTCCCATATACATCTTTCTGTGTATAGTGCTTGTAACTTTACGAAGAATGGGCCAAATTTCTTATCATTTTGATGATTCCAGAACCTTGCAGATGCTAGATGCTAGATGATCAACCTTTTCTGATCGATTCCACAACGTTTCTTTCACAATGCAATCGCATGACCATAACTGGTCTTTACCTTTAAAATAGACAAAGTTTGACTGGTCCTTCAAGGCAGATAGATGGAAATAATTGGCACAGGTCGGTTTTCAAAGATACTCTTTGGGGTGCTGCTGGTCTCAATAAACACCTCTTCACACTTTTTTTGAAAATTTTCTAGATATGGTCATACAAACGTGCCATTCCCAGAATATACACGTTCTATTATGTCCCCTCAAGTACCTGGGAGGCATATTGCTTTGACCGGTAATTAGCGAGAAACCTGCAAAGTGATTGAGATGTACTTTGTTATCTTAGGCTTTATCTCCAATCAAAAGAAGGCAAAGTTTCTTAAGCAAATTAAAATACACGAACTATTGACCATTTCAAAGGACAACATCCTTTAGTACACACCGAAGGTCACTCGGGTATTGTAATTAAAATATCCGAAGGTGAACACATGCTAGATTTTATCAACAACAGAATGCCACTTCCCCGTTTCTGGACACACGCTGCGTTACAAAAACACCATTGAGAATGTGCTCTCATTTGTGAAATGTATTTGTTAATGGTTCACTAACAGGTGAGTGTATGATTGTGACCCTTCATTCAAGACGAAAGACCCATGCACACCCAAAGCTAAACAACGCCTCACAAATAAAGAAACTGCAGTGAAATTTCAAGTCACGTAAGCCAGCAAAAACACATAAAACCACATGCAAACACATAAAATTACATAAAAACACAAAAGATTACATAAAAACACAAAAGATTTCATAAATTAAAGATTACATGAAAAAACACTTATTAAAATGAGTTTGTAAAGGAGCTGATCGAGTAGGGCGGGAAAGTTTCGATAAGAAATCTTGCTAGAAAAAAAAGAACAAGATAAATAGAGGAAGATATGTAATAAAGCAAAGTGAGGAATTCTGATCACAGTTTGTTGCTGATTTGAAGTGGGTACTGATTGACCCGAGGACCTTCTCTTAGTTGGGGTTGGCGTCAGGCTCTGTGTTCACCGTGGAGTTGTTGGGGCACGATTGACGTAGGGTATCAAGTTTGTGGTCTCAACTTGGGAGAAGATGATAGCTACTCCACCCCTCACTTGCATGCAAGCCCGACCGTGCGTTCAGACTACTGGAATTCATCGTACAGCTATACGATTCTCGTATAGGTATAATAGTGATAAGAGATTATCTTTCATCTAGTCTAAACGTCTTGTAAAGAAATGTCGTATGACGAAATGTTGTATAGTGAAATGCACATTTGAGCATCGTGTTGAACGAGAAAGCTTGATAAAGAATCAGGGTCCAGCTCGAGTCTGAACATGGTATAGTACAAAAATCATATTACAGGGTAGGGTTTATCGTGAATGCGCAAAGATGATTGGACACCTATCATGTTAACTGACCTCTTTCAAATTTTACAAGTTTCTCTATTCAGCTTTACTTTAAAGGTAAAGACCAGTTATGGTCATGCGATTGCATTGTGAAAGAAACGTTGTGAAAGAAACGTTGTGGAATCGATCAGAAAAGGTTGATCATCTAGCATCTAGCATCTGCAAGGTTCTGGAATCATCAAAATGATAAGAAATTTGGCTTATTCTTTGTAAAGTTACAAGCACTATACACAGAAAGATGTATATGGGACTACCCTATATCTCTCACAGACCATGAGAGAAACAAATTTACCAAATATATGAATTAGTAGGCGGTTTCCTGGCAAATTTTTTATCATCATGTATTAGTCAAAACATATTCTTTCACATGATTGGTAATGAGAGCTTCCATTTCATTTTTTGAAATTGGGGCGTTTCCAATACTGGTCTTTACCTTTAAACAATAATATTTTCTGGGCTGCGTACTAAAGCTCCTATCACTATACGATGAATCATTACATAATGTTTCTCAAATTTGCTTAGGTCTGAACAGTCTATGACTCGTGACTGATAGGGATTTGTCGGCTGCAATATTCTCACCTACCATGCTGGGATGCAGGTCTTGATACCCTTGCAGTTGCGCTCGCTTGGTTTCATACACCAAAAAGAAAACATTTGTATCACGTGTCCATGGACAAGACTGAATGATTCTCTCATACGCCTCTGAGTGTAACTATGTAAAAGACAAGGCATGATTTCAGTTGATGAACATTTATTAGAAGTATCAGATAGGGAGTTGCATCTTACACACAAGAAAAGTGACTAGTAGCCCATGATTTGTAGCTATGTCTCTACAAGAGATTATAAATCATTTCACCCATATCGATCTGCTATCGATCTGATAATGCTTCAATCCCTAAGAAAATACACCCACTTACACTGTAAATGTCTAACTATCACCAAGTATTGTGCACTTTACAGTAGGGCGTTGCAAGGAATTCCTAGCAAATTATCTATTAAGATAGGCCCTGCTATGCCATTTTTAGCTTACACTGTACGTGTCTACTAAGCCGACACCCTTTTTGTGACCACCCCCGCCCCCCTCCCACACACACCCACACACAAACACACCTTACTTCCACCTGTGAAAGGTGTTTTCATTCATGAGTGATGGCACTTTGTTCTGAATATTTCTTTATTGAAAGAAGTTCTATAAAAGATAGATATAACACAAAGAAGCTGATACATGCAGTTCCTTTGAAAGAAAGTCAATATTCTTGATATGGTTCAATATGGCTCGATACAGATGATACACTACCATGCGCTACTAGCTACAATGTACTTGTATGTATCAAAACAGAAGCTTTCTCACAATGGCTGCATAGATCCATGCAGACTTGTGTGCTTTGCAAGATGCCTGGAGGTTGCATACAAGAGTGCAAACACTCAAGCACATTCTCTAAACATTCATATTATAGTTTCACATCTTCAGTAGTTTTCAGTGATGGCATTCGGTGGTGGCATTCGGTGGTGGCGTTCAGAGATGGCGTTCAGTAGTGCCGTTCAGTGGTGGCGTTCAGTGGTGGCGCTCGGTGACGGCGCTCTGTGACGGCGCTCAGTGGTGGCGTTCGGTGATGGGATTCGGTGATGGCATTCAGTGATGGGATTCGGTGATGGCGTTCGGTGATGGCATTCTGTGATGGGATTCGGTGATGGCATTCAGTGATGGCGTTTGGTGATGGCGTTCAGGGGTTAGGCATTGCTTATGAAACATAGTAGAGATTTTAACAATGAGCCCATCAGACTGTTCATAAATTGATCAATAATCCACATTATCATTATCATCAATTATCATCAATTTCTTGTCAGGGGTGCATATATTTCTGTAGGAATGATGGCATTTGAAGTGTCATTCTTTCCCCTAATTCTAAAGGAAATTTGCCTACAAGACCAGGGCCTAGACTTACAAAGAGTTGCGATTGATTCAAATCAATGGCAAGTTTACAGTTTCCTATCTCTTCTGCCTACTACAAAGTTGCGATTGATATCAATTTTTTTTTTTTAAATGGGATTAATATCTAATCTTTATCAAACAGGGGCCAAGTCTATTTCGGTTCATAAAGGCTAAATTAAGGCACAGCGATAAGACTTAGAAAAAAAAGACATATTATTTAGAACCGTTTGGGTAAAGTTGTAGTATGATAATTGAATCCATTCACGTCTAAAGGTACAAATACCGTGTCAAAACAAGAGGTTATCTCTGATTGACATAAACCTTTTGAAGCGAGAGGAGAGGTAGAAGAGCAGGTAGTTTGTAACAGTTTCCATTCAGAAGAAAATTCATTCAGACAGTAATTTGCCTCCTTGCATGAAAACAATTCTGCCCAGTGGGTACGAAATTGGAGAAATATATATACCAGCAGTCGCTAAGCGCAAATTATGCCATTTGTTTTAAGCTGCACCGATGTCGATCAGCTCGGCATGAGCGCTCTTTGGACTTGACAATGTCGGCTGCAGATGCTCTCTTGGACTGTT